TTTTTGAACGCATAGAGATTGTAAAACAATACTTAAACTTTATCGATGAATATTAATTTAGTTAAGAATAGAAAAAAAAATTATTTCATCAACTTGTTGCTCTCACCTTTGGGGCAAGATGATAAAATTTTAGGGCTTGTTTGTCCCAGTTGCAATATTGCAACTTTTAGAAAGCATGATTATTTGACAAAAGTATAAACATATAAATGTTTGGATTTTGCTCCATGTTATCTCAAACACCAAAAAATGCTGGACCTGTCATTTCTACAAATCTCTTGTTTCTGAAGCGAATTTGCCTCAGAATTCAGCGTTTAAACGTTGAAACACATAATATATAAATGTATATATATATATATATATATATATATATATATATATATATATATATATATATATATATATATATATATATACATATATATATACATATATAAATTTTCAGCTTTAAAACAAATATCTTAAAAAATATGTAAAAAAATAAAATAAAATTTAAATGTACTTTTAAGGTTCAGAGTTTGAAGTTAGGTGTCGGATCAAAATTCAAATTATAAGAACCATTCAATAACGAAAAAGCAAGAAAAAAGTTGCCGTAGCTAGCTCCTTGAATCCACTCTTCTTCTTTTTTAATAATTTTTTATAAGAACTCTTTATTTGAAGTAGCTTCTGAAGCTTCTCCAAGCTAATCACACGCTCTACATTATCTTAAAATTTTCTTACTGTAAGCACAGCAAAACTGATTTTTTTTTTACGAAATATTTTTCTTAAAACAAGAAATACGTTTTTTTGTTTTAAGAAATGAATATTCTACCCTGCAATTTATTTTGAGGAATAAATTTCTTAACTTGAACTATAGCCGTTAGATTTACGATTTTACTGTCAGTTCTGATAGTAACTTTGAAAGATTTTAAAAGTTTTTGAATTTATTGTATCCAAAAAGTCTGACGGAGTTTAATCCTACGGAATTTTTTTAAACTATGACCTAGAATATCAGCTTTGATTTTATCTATTTTTACATCTTTTTGGAACTCTCTTTGTTTTTGAATATAGAACCTTTGACCATTTTTATATTGTAATCTCGGTCAAAAGATGCTAACGCCAGCACCTAACATCTCTATGGTTTTACCATGGTTTGAATTTCACCTTTGCCGCAGGCTCAATATACATCTGCCAATAGTCTTGTTGATCTTAAAAGTGTAAATTAAGAATAATGCAATGTAGATAAAATAAGGTTTAAAATGACTCGGCTAAAAACTTATTACATTTACTTTTGAGTGAATAGAAATATCACTCAGTGGTATTTCTATTCACTCAAATTTCATTTTATTTTTATTATTTCTAACGATTTTAAGAAAAGTCCGTTATTGAAAAAAAAAATTGGTTTAGAGTTATTTTCTTTGTATTTTATATCTGATTTTAAACTATCGTTTTTAAATAATTTGTTACTTTATGACATAAATTATCCTTAAATAAGACTAAAATATCAAAACTTTTGAAGTAAAGTTTTACTTTAGAAATTGCAGAAAAGCCGCAGGTCAAAAACCGCGATGCCCTGGAGAGAGAAATGTAGTCAACCATTTCAGTCAGTCATTCTATTGATCTCTTTGAGTATTTTATTACTCAGAATAAAAACCTGCCTGATTTTAGAGTAATGCAACTTGAACTTCATGAAATTCAAGGCGTGTGAACAGCTCCATATTTGTTAATTTTCACCCAAAGGTCTGATTTTTATCAAAAGTTCACAATAATTTCTGCACTTTTCAAGAGTTTAAATGTAAATGATTTTAAAATTAGAAAATAAGAGATTTTTTTTTTGCAAAAAGGTATTTTAAAGTGAAGTAGTTTTATCTTCACCTCACTATTTTTTAACCTTTTATGGTTTATGAAAAAGTTTATTCGCCGGTTTAACAGGTTTATTTACAGCTACGGCTGTATGAAGCTCTCCAACATAATGGCAGGAGGTTAACAAGAATAATGGTCGGCCAGAAAACTTACCTAATCTTGTACAAACCCTTTTTAGATAGTCAGGGCTAGAAGTGGGTGAACTGTATGAGATCAAAAGCATCTAATTAGTTTCTAATTGCTATGTACTGGGCCTCAACGGTATCTTGTTTAAAAACCACGTTTTTTTAATTTCATAACGAACTTGTGGGTTTTTAAAATATCACTAGTTAACAAAAATAATAGTAATAAAAATGCGCACCATCGGTATAAATAGAAAACCTTCCGTTATTTGTAATGACGTTATAATATAGTTAATGATTTGTAAATTTCTACTCGCACCGATTATTTGAAAATGCCCTTAAAAACTTCAAAAAATGTAAAAATGGTAACTTTAAAAAAGTGGCGCGAGTATAAATAGTCATTCAAAATAAAAAAAATTACTTAAAGAAAACAATAACTTGGGAATATTTTATGACACTCCGCGTATTAAGATTTGTTTATGAGGGTCAAATTTGGATGGGCTAATATATATATATATATATATATATATATATATATATATATATATATATATATATATATATATATATATATATATATATATATATATATATATATATATTATATATATATATATATATATATATATATATATAATTCATGGATATTTTATTTTCACCATAATACATTCACATTCAACTAGTTGACACCTATCAATCTTTAAATTTGACTTTGGAGGACAATATAGAGTATCCAACTTTTTTGTAATTCCATTTGGCAAATTTGATTGACAATATTTATAGTGTTGCAAGATATCCATATCCGTTGAAAGTTGCGTTCCTAAACCTTAATCGATAATATAAAAAATCTCATTTTTATATTGATAATATAAAGATCTCAAACTGTTACTGCGCAAAATCTTGTGTTTATGATAACTCATATCAAAATCTTGTGTTTATGATAACTCATATCAAAATCTTGCGTTTATGATAACTCATATCAAAATCTTGTGTTTATGATAACTCATATCAAAATCTTGTGTTTATGATAACTCATATCAAAATCTTGTGTTTATGATAACTCATATCAAAATCTTGTGTTTATGATAACTCATATCAAAATCTTGTGTTTATGATAACTCATATCAATACTTGTTCAGTAACTAACTGAACATTTTAAGGAACTGAGTTACTTAAATTTTTATTTTAAACTCTAAAATTCAAAATCAAAAATGTAACTTTCAAATTTTAAATCAATGTAGAGGCTTCATATTAATTGTGTTCATATGAAACTTTAGTAAAAGAACATGAAGTGTAATGGTTTGATATTTATTTCATTTTGGGAAACGACAGGCGGAGGGGGATGAAAGAATGTCAAAGAAACACCTTCAAATACGTAACTAACTAAAGCAGCAAGCAATGTACAATATTTTTAACCAAAAAACATTTTTATTATATTAGAAAAAATGTATTTGTATATTTCAAATGCTTTCTTAATATCACAACAAAAGTCATAAATTTTGCGAATTTATGGATAAAAAATGCTCGGTAATAAAACAAAAACATATATACGTATGATTTTAAATGGAAAATATATGAAGTGTAGACCCTTTTCTTTAATTCAGCAAAATTGATTTATATTAGACCCTCCTCAACGTCACTGAAATCGGCAACTTTTGAAAAAAAAAATAGATCTTTTTTTTCACAAAAACGAGCCTTGAGGGAGGGTCTAGAGTGGTCAGAAAATGCCCGGTATGCTTTAAAACCTACTTTCTATATATTTGCACCAAATTTAACGAGATACGTATTTTTGTTTTAAAAATTCTCTCATTCTGAATCACCCTTATATATATATATATATATATATATATATATATATATATATATATATATATATATATATATATATATAAAAGTGCAACTTTTTAGGTTTGTTTCATTTTCTTAAGTCTGGTCCGTGTCAACGTCACGGAAGTTTTTTAGTAATTAAAGGAAGTATCCAGACGTTGTGTTCCACAGAGCATTATTGTATCATCATTAGGTAAATGTAACACGGTAAGCCTTGAGAGACGTGATTATTTATTTTTATGACTTCAAGTGCAAAATTAGCTCTTGACAGTCTTGGATTGGAACTAAGAAAGTAAATTATTGGCCATAACGTAAGTGGAATGTCACAAAAAAGTATTTGTGATAAATATCGCGTGAAAAAATGGACAGAATCAAGTCTATGTTCCAAATATCGTTCTACGGGAAAGTTGGCAGCAGATAACAAAGGTGGAAGACCGCGTTCCACCACTTCTAGAGAGGATTCTATGATCGTCAGATCCGTCAAGAAGGATCCCTGGATATCATCAGTCGAGATACAAATGCAATTAGAGCTGCCTGTATCGGATCGAACAATCAGACGACATGCTGTTGAAGCCGGATTGTTTTCTCGACGCCCTGCAAACAAACCGCTGATTTCACTAAAGAACCAGAAGAAAACACTCCTGTTTGCTACATCTCATATTGACTGAAATGTGAAGAAATGACGAACTGTCCTTTTCAGTGATGAATCGAAGTTCAACGTCATTGGGAGCGATGGCACTTGCCGTGTACGTCGACTGGCCGGAAAACGCCTCGATTTACGTTACTGCCATAAGACCGTGAAGCATGGTAGAGGCAATGTAATGGTCTGGGGATGTTTTTCTGCTAGCTGTTTAAGTCCAATACATCCAATACATCAAATCGATGGAATAATGGACCGTTTCATGTATAAAAATATCCTAAAAGATGTTATATTACCTCATGCTGAATGGAATATGCCAATAAAATAGGTTTTTCAGCAAGACAACGATTCGAAACACACTGCAAAAGTAGTCAAGCAGTGGTTTCAAGACAACCACCTATCGGTGATGGATTGGCCGCCTTAATCTCCGGATCTCAACCCTATCGAGAACCTGTGGGAGATATATATAGTATATATATATATATATATATATATATATATATATATATATATATATATATATATATATATATATATATATATATATATATATATTAAATATTTTTAAAATGTATTTTAGAAAACAAATAATTTATAATTTACTCGTAAAATTAATAAATAACAAATATATGCATTTCCATTAAGTAATTGAAATGTGTACAAAATGTATTGTCTAACCAATTTAAGTAAGAAAAAAACGAATTTTAAAAAATTATTTAAAAAAAATTAAATAAGAAATCAACAAATAATTTTGATTTCAACTTTCAAAATAAGAAATGTTTCTGATTTTAAAACAAAAAAAAAAATCTTTTTTTACATTAAATAAAGCAAATTTATTCCAAGTCCTTCATTTTTATTTTACCCGTTACCAAAGCTACTTTAACGCAAAAATCATCTAAATGCTTTTTAATTTCTTTAGCTTGAGCATCTGAACTGGCTTTTGGATTCATTTGACAATATGTTGCAATTTTTCTCACTGCATCAGCCTAAATAACAAAAATAAAACTTTTTGATGCAGATAAAAATCTATATTCATGTAATTATTTAATTTAGAGTATTGGTAAAATAATTTATATCAAATATCAAATATTATCAAAATAATAATTTTATCATATTTTTATATAATTTATTCTCAGATAAAAAACGCTTGTGAAAATCGGGAAAGCAAGTTAAAGTGCCAAACTCCTAATAATTAATGAAATACTCATGCATTTTTTTAAATATTTGCTAAATTGTTCTGACCATAAACTTTTTGCAGGACATTTAACGCACATTATATAGTAATTTGTTTTGAAATTTTGCACAGTTCAAAAACTAGATAAATAAATCATTTTGTAGACAGCGCCGCTGAGTTGGGGGTCGCGAGAGACAGTTTGTCCCGGGTGGCAGATATCCAAGGGGCTTTAAATGAAATGTAGGTACCTAAAAAGTAAAAAAAAAAAAAAAAAAAAAAAAAGGCCCGTCATATATAATATAGGGAAAATTTGATATATAAGGGCGCCAATCAGGATTACTGTCCCAGGCGGCGTGACAGCTCTCGGCGGCCCTGTTTGTAGAATTTGGACATCCAAATTTGAACAGTTAATGATTTTAAAACATTAACTTTATTCTTTTTGAATAACTCATAAACCGATTTAGCTGCATGTTTGGGATCGTTATCCTGTTTATATATTCATCTTCGAGGCATTTTATCCTTTGCACGAGGCAACCTAATAGTCTTACATATATCTTTGTACTTTTCTTAGTTATAGTCTCAGTAATTCTATGGAGCGGACCAACTCCATCCTGGCTAAAACATACTGGATGTCGAACATACCTGATTCCATCTGATCAGAACAGCATAAACTTGTTTTCGTCACTAAAAAGAATTTTTGACCATTGTTGATTACTCTACTTTGATGCTCTGATGCCAATTCCTTTCAGACGGTATGGTTTTTTAAGGAAACTAATAGCTTTTTAGCTGGATATCTTCCAAATAAATTAGTGTGACGTAAAGGACGTTTTATAGTAGAAATACTATTAATAAAGTAAAATTCATAATAAATAATATTATATATATATATATAAATAATGATAACAAATAATAATAATAAAATATAATAATAAAAAATAAGAAATAAAATAAAAATTCATTCCATAGAAACTTCTCATTTGTATGTTTATACCGACAGCAGTCAAACAGAGATTTTCTTTGCTTAGTATCATAAGCATAGTATCCTGATAATGCATTATTTTGCGTGGCTTTCCTGATTTTTATTCTTTGTAGATCTAGTAAGCTCATATCTCTTCATAATTTGTCTTACAGCAGACTTTATGAAGCTGTGCTGTTTACAAAATGATTTTCCATTTTGAACTCATCTTAAAATCAATTTTTTCAATGGAGATAAGATACATTTCTTCTATCCTAATATTTAATTAAATATTCATTATTAGCTCAAAGCATAATCGTTAACCTGAAAACCTTTTAATTGGTATATAATATGATGGCTCAAGTAGTGAAAGCACTGAAATATTAGTAATATTTAACTTTTTTATGCCTGTCCGCAAACTTTTGGACGCTACTGTATGTATATATATATATATATATATATATATATATATATATATATATATATATATATATATATATATATATATATATATATAAGGGCATCATATCATATATATAAAAAAAGGGCATCATATATATATATATATATATATATATATATATATATATATATATATATATATATATATATATATATATATATATATATATATATATATATATATATATATATGTATATATATAGAAAGAGGAAAAAAGGATGAGACTTAATTAAATGATGAGTAATACATGAATGAATTTTAGTAGATGGCACAAGAGAAGCTAGTTCTTTATAGCAGCGATTATTATAGTATTTATAGAAAAGAGAAGTGACAATTGATGAAGGTCGGCTTCTTGAAAAAGTCCAACTATGTTTGTAATATGTTTTTGCACCTCGTCTAAACAAAAAAGGGCATCATTTGAAGATCTGCTCCACATATGGCAACCTTATTCCATACAAGGATGAATTTGAAATTTATAGAGATAAAGAATAGAATCTGAAGTAAGAAAGTGGCGAGCACTATAAAAGGATGCAAGCTTAGCATATGCTAATTTTGCCATTGATTTGATATATGGTTTTCAAGAAAGATCAGAAGTAAGAGTTAATCCTAGAAGACAAATAGTAGATGATTCATCGAGTACGTTACTGTTCATAAATATAGAAAGATCTAGATTGTCAGCTATATCAGGTAGGATGTGATTAGTGGAATCAAAAGATGAGATTAATATAAAGTTCTTAGCAAACTATTCAGCTTTGTCTTTAGGTGAGGTAACAAAACCTGAACCATGTAAGAGAGGAGGAATTACAGATTTGTCCTTATTATAGACACTGCTAAAGATTCTTAATAAGTCTTGAAGGCCTAATTTTTGGGATAAAATATGAGAATTATTGATCTGAAAATAGTGGGCTTTGGTATTAAACAAAACCTTTTTACAATCGCTTCTAGTAATAGTAAACAGACATCTATTTTCTAGAGAATTATTTTGGCGATAGATACGGAAGTAATTGTTACGAATGGAAATTGCAGCAGCACAATGAGGAAAACCCTGAAGAAGAAAGAGGCTTCACTTATAATCGTCGAGGGGGAACAAAAGATTTCATATTAGATTGAATACAAGAAGTTACATAAGAAGCAAATTTGTCAGCAGGAACAATTCAGGACAAATTTCTAACCAAGGACCATCACAAAGAAAATCACGGAAAGAGTCATAGTCAGCTTTAAGGTAGTTGTAAGAGATATGATGGTAAGAGGATTCTGATGATGAAGAAGAATGAAATAATTGTTTTAGAAAGATCAAACGGCAATCAGAAGCACCTAAGGGCGAATGTGGAGAAACTAAGCACCGACTAGATCAGAAACAAGACACAAGTCAAGTAAAGAAGATAAATGATTCAGATTGTCTGGAAAGCAAGTTGAAAAGTTGACTATTTGTGTTAGAGATTGAGAAAGTTATGGGCCTTAAAACCAGCAGAGTCATTGACACTAGAACCAAGTTATTCAGTGTGACGAGCATTAAAGTTTAAACAACAACCATATTGGTTGAAGAATAAAGAGAAAGGGCTTGGTCAATTTGATCAGAAATAACATCAAAAAGAGTGCAGTCTTGATATGGAGAGCGATAGACAATGAAAATAATATTAAATAATATTAGACAAAGAGAAAGACAATACAAGAAAGCGATGTTACACAAAAGCACATAAATGAATAGTCTGTGGATTCAAACCTAGATTCCTAACAAATGGGTGAATTCTTATAAATGTTAATGCCCAGGCTAGCATGTGACATTGTCAAGCATGTGATGATGATTGCTATAATAAATGTTATCTTTTTTTTTTGTCTTTTTTACAAGAATTACTCTATTGAGAACAAATGTTTATTTTCAATTGCAAGAAGTTAATGTAAAAGTACCTGTCTGATGCTAAGCTCATGTATTCTGAGTTTACTAAATCTTGTATCTTATCTGATTGTTAAAGATCTTCCAGAGACTTTTGGAAAATCATTAAAAGTGTCATTAACTAAAGTAAGTCTAACCTTCCATCTTTCATTCATGGTTCTGATATTATAACTTTTCCCCAGAGTAAGGTTATAGAACTATTTGAAAAGAACTTTTACCCTAATTTGACTCTTGAATCTAATTGGCCAAACCTACCATTTGCGGTTCAGACAACATGTTCATCATAGTCTTATTATTATATTATTATTACCCTATTATTCTTAGACAAGCTTCAAAAGCACATGTACCTTAAGTTTAATGAAACTTGCACAAGAGCAGAAAAAATTAAAATGTTGCACAAAAGATTTCCTACTTCCATTTTTTAAACAAATTTCGCATTGCATAACTTATGGACTTTAAGTAGTTTTTATTTTATAGCTTTTAAATTGATCATGACAATACATGTGCAATTATTTAACGCCTTTTACACAGAGTGTAAAAGACGCTAAATAACTAAATAAATAAGATGCTAAAAAAAGTAATAAAATTAAATAGTTAAATAATGTAAAATAATTAATAAAAAATGTCACAATTTATAAAAAAGCCAACCTAAATTATGCTGAAAGTGAGCACCATTTTTTAGAAATTTTTAAAATTAACAAAATCTAAATTTATACTTTAAATAAACATATTAAAAACATATTACTCGTAAATAGGCCAAAAGATTTTCTTTCTCGTTTAACCTTTGATAAACTTCATTTAACACCTTTGCTCCTGTTAAAAAAGTGTATGTTTGTTGACCAAAATCATTTCCAACAAGAAGACCAAGCAATGCAAACTAAATATATAACATTTATTTAAATCAACTAAGTTCTAAACACTGAAAATAATGTTTTAATAATGAATATACAAAATATATATTACAAATAACAGCAGAATGAGATCAGCCCATTAAAGTTTAAAGGTCAATTAATACATACAAAGGATGACTGCAGTACATACATCAATCGTAAATTACAATCTTTATACCCAAATGTTGACAACATTTTGCAACATATTTTTACAAGGTACTTTTTATTACACATTGTATTTTGTACAAGACATGTGTTTTGGTACAAAGTACCAAAACACATGTAATTATCAAAAGTGCTATGATAAAAGCTGACATACTCTCACCTAACCACTCACATCTCAAACCCACTCACAGACAAATTCTAAAGTATTATATGCATCATCATTTAAATGTGAATCATTATTTAAATATCAGTAAAAGCAACTGAAAATACTATATGAAATACAGTATTTTCAGTTTCTTTTACTGAAAATTTGGACTGAAAATAGGTACCTTACCATTTGTAAGTGTTAATGTGCTTAATCCAAAAATGTAGAGAAGATATCTTACTTTAAAATTTTTGATGGTCATTATTTGATTATAAATTGGTCACAATAAGTATTCTGTTCTATTATCAAGTTTAGTTTTCATAACTCTCAGAGTTGTCTAACTTTTGGGCAATTTCATTTGAAAATATCCAATTGTTTTGTAAAATACAATGCTAAGTTTCAGATTTTTCTGATTTTTACATCACTGTTTCATCATCTGATTCCAAACAATTTCAAAGATATAACTATTTAAACTTTGCCAAGAACCAACAAAAATCTGGCATTTAAAAATATGGCTTCGGTCTTTTTTTCGGTTGTGTGTGAAAGAGAAAGCCCTTTTCTTAAACAGAAAAAAAAATATGCTCAAATTTATCTATATTTGTTACTTATAAAATAGGAAAATCAAAGATAAAACAAAGGTGGTACTTATTACACAGAAGTTGATGTTTATTAATTTTTGAAAAATATTCCCATCCACCCTGAGCTTGTAGCAATACTAAAATAAAAAAATTTTAGTTATTATTTTCTAATTTTTGAGACTGGTTCAGGTCTTAAATATTAGAAAAAATAAACTCCCTTATAAAAGTAAAAAAAAAAAATTCTCACCAACCTGTTTATTAAGATTCCCTTTTCTCCCACTTCTCTCCCCCCCCCCCCCTCTTTTTTTCCCATTTCCCTCCATTTATTACATCTAGGGTCAATGTTATAAAACTTTTTATCGGCATAAAATGCTACCGGTGGTAAATTTTATCGGCATAAATGATTTTTTTCAATGTTATAAAACATTTTTAAAAATTATTGACGATAAATTTCTACAGCTGAAACGTTTACAGAAGTTAAATGTTCCGGAGGAGCGACCTATGGAAATTTATGTTGAAGATCCAAAGATATGAATATTTAGTTGTAGAAACCTGTGGTTCAGAACTTTTTAAAGTACTTAAGTTGAAAACTTAACAAATTCAATCAATTTAATTAAGTGCACATTTCTTAATAAATTTTAATTTTAAGGGATTTCATTGTTAATATTTTTTTACTGAATTTGACATGTAAGAAATGTAAAACTGCTCTCTTTAACTATTTTTTAGAAAAAAATTGCTTATAAATCTTATACTTTCATTCAACTTATTATTTATAACCCTCATTCTGAGCTTCTATTTATCTTTTTTTTTTTCCTTTTCTGTTGTATTTTAAATTTTTTTTGTAAAATTATTAAATTTAGCAAAAAATATTAAAACACAACAGAAGAGGAAAAAAATTAGATAAATAGAAGCACAGAGTTAGGGTTATAAATTATAAGTTGAAGTAATGTATAAGATTTATAAACAATATTTTTCTAAAAAGTGGTTAAAGTTAAAAAATAAATAAATAATAAATTATTTATTATTTTAATCCTTCTTAAACTGAAGTATTTTCTCTACACCACTAATGCTATTGTTACTCTATTTTTATTATTATAAATATTATTATTTTTACTGTTGTTAATATTGTTATAACTTTTTTTATATATTACTGTTTTTAATATATTGTTGTTGTTATTATTGTTATTATTATTGTTTTTATTTTTACTGTTTGTTATTATTATTGGTTGTTATTATTGTTATTATTATTATTGTTATTACTATTATTAATATAGTATAGTGTATACTTTTTATAATCTTTACTATTACTTTTAATCGCTGTTATTACGACTCTTATTTTTACTTTCTCCTGCTTGTATTATAATTATTAATAGCATCATTTTATTAATATTGAATTATCATTGTTGATGAAAAAAATCAACAAAGTCTGAGACTAAGAGTTGTATGTCCTGGATGTTTTCACATGGAATCGCCCTTTCATGAATTAAAATATTTTTTTAAAAGAAATAAGAGATGTTAACAAAAAATATGGTATTAGTCGCTAGAAAAAAATTACACAAATATTTTGTTTTGTTATTATAAGTTAAGCATTCTTTCACATCATTTTATGATACCAATCATAATGCCTAAAAAGTGTTTATAATTTTAGGTTAAATATTTTTGTCTTGATATTCAATATCTCAGTCGTTCTCAGTAATCAGTGCTCTTTTAAAATTAAACTATAAAATGAATCTTATCTGGAAACATGCTGCTTGGAATGAATGAATTAAATGTGAAATAAAAAATAAATAAAAATAATAAAAAATTTTTAAAAATGTCAAAAAGGTTGCCTTAATCATTAAAATTTTTAATAAAATTACAAAAAAAACACACACACACACAAAAATAACAACACAATTTAAACATTATTAATGATAATTACATTAACACTAGTTTTATCACTATTGAAGGATATGTTGAAACAAGAAAAACTTAGCTGTTCAGAATTATATATAGTATGAAATAGATATATGTGATATCTGATATAGTATGAGAACAGCAAGAAACTATAAAAAATTCCTTTAAAGCTAAACAACCAACAGTGAATGAATCTGCTAATTTTTTATCGCAATTTTCAACGAAAACCCTATCCACAGAAAAATCACTTATTGTAAACACAATTGCTAATTCAATAATATCAGAACAAGAAAATAAAAAAAAGCGAGGAAATAATATCATAACTTTTGGAATTACAGAATGGAGTAAAATAAATGAGTCAGATACAATTAACAATGACAAATTAATGGTCAATGAATAATTTGATTATAATGGCAAAAGCAATGAAAAACCAATTAAATTAGACTAGAAAAACAAAAGAATCAAAAAGTCCTCCAATTATTTCTGTACTTTATAAAAACTGTGAACGCAATAAAATTCTACTTGTGTTAAGGGAATTACCAAATAATGCCAACTTTTTTTTTTTTTTTTTTTTTTTTGTTATTCACCTTCTCAAAGCCGAGAAGGCCAGACGAGGAGGCTACTTAATAGTGGTTATAAGTAGCCTCCTCGTCTGTAGTGGCCTCCTCTCTCAACTCTATAACTCTGAAACACGAACCTTGACGAACAAGGCTGCTGCACGGAGAAACAAGTTGAGCGCAGTACTACCAGGGGCGTGGTGGAGATTGAACTCAGAACTTCTTGCTTATGAAGCGAGTGTTTTACCACTACACCACTATTGCAACTATAAAAATATTTAAACCTGAATATGACGCCAGCAGAAAAATTAATTGATTTTGAAATAAGAAAAGAAAAAAAGAATAGAAATCTTTAGTTTTTAGAAAAACTCACAAAAAAAAAAAACAAAGAAAATGACAACCCACAAAAAAATAAATGGTTAACCAAATCTGATAAAATTAATTTTGAACAAATGCCAAGAACTAAATTTTATTGTTCAAAAACTTAAACTAAATCATATTTGTCTAACCAAAAAATGAGATGACCAAGAAATTACTATAGAAAATTATATAGCACTAACAAATCACAATAATAAATCATGTCAGAGAGGTGTAGCAACATTTGTACATATATTGTTAAAATTGTTATTGGTTAGCTTTGATACATTTTCATCAGAATCAATTAGTTGTGAGATTCAAACAAAAAATTCTATACTGCTAATAACAACATTCTATAGATCTCCAAATAGCAATGAGGAAAATAATAACTATATAAATCAACACAACTAATCTTTCTGAAAATTACACAAACATCCTTATAAATGGAGATTTTAACTACCCAGATATAACTTGGTCTAATAAAAAAAAAACCCTCTATCTTACTCATCAAAAACATTAAAATTCATTGATTCAATCTGCAAATATTTTTTCATGCAACATATATTTAAACCAACCCACTTCTGAAAGAAGTACAACTATTATTGATCTAATAATAACATCCGTGGAAAATATAATTTCACGAACAACCCACCTTGCTCCAATTGGAAAAAGTCATTACCACCTTTTATACTTTACCTTAATAATCAAATCAATTAATAAACCAACTTATACTAATAATAACCAATTTATACTAATAAACACTTATTCTCTAAAGGAAACTATAATTATAAAACTATACTAATAAATAACTATAAAACATTAATCTGTCAACCTGAGTATTAAATCAAAATTATAACTCAATACAACTTTGGGATTCTACACAAACCTTAAAAATACTATTAAAAAAATGTTTCAAAATCCTCATTCAAAACTAAAAAGCATTCACAATGAATAACAGTCCAAGTAGCAGAAAAAATAAAGAAACAAACAAATTAAATATCAAGACTACATTCATAAATGGAATGATAAAACATACTATGATTATTGCCGAGCAAAACTAAACAGAACTAAAGCAGATTGCAGAAATGCTATATTAAACTTTGAAAAAGAAAATGCTAAAAACATCAATAAAAATCCTAAACCTTTTTTTTTAATGATACATTGATTGTTCTAAGTTTTAACTTATCTTGTGTTTGTCCTATCACCAAATCTCTAAATATCTATCTATTAATTATATTAAGGTACTTCAAACTAGTACACTGCTACAAAAAAGGAGACAAGAAATTAAT